TTTTGGATCACTTTTTTGGGTAAATGTGATTAAAATAAAACTTTTATGGTTCTTCTGAAACTTAATATTTTAAAGCCAAGTGAAAATCTGAACTAGACATTCTAAGTCATCCTTTACTAACTTTTAGTTTCTAAATTCCAACTGATGAAGCAATTTTGGTCAGTGACATACTCTAAAAACACTCATACTTCTTGGAAGTCCAATCTACACACCTGTTTGTATTGTTCATTACATGTAAGCATTTAACAGAAAGCGTTCTTGACCAGGAAGTCATTGGTTACATAGCCTGTTTCTTTGAATAGTCTTTTATTTAAGATACTAAATGATGCCTACCAAATGGGTTTTTTCCATTATGATGTTGTTTTTCTTTATTTTATTATTTTTAAATTCAGCAGTGGTATATTTTTTATAAAGTAAACTAACTTTTGGTAGTATTTAAGACATGTAACATGTTAAAAAGCTAAACCTATAACTGCTGTTTAAGGGCTGTTCACTTACTGAGCTTTCCTGTATTTTCAGCTTTTTCATAACACACAAAAATCAGGATATGTGATACATGCTTCCCATGATCGTTCTTGTCCTTGAGTTAGTGGAGAAAATATCTGCTAACATTATTTTACCATAATTAAACTGCCTGTGGTTTCTTAAAGACGTGTTTTCTTTTTCTTCTGTTGCTGATCGATAGTAAGAAACAACAGTCGTTTCCTTTTCTAAGGTCACAGCTTTTGTTTTAGATGTAGGAACACATTTCAATATCCACAGTACTATTTTGTGACCATTGATTGCACTATTTATTTTTTTTTAACAGTTGCAAAGCTTCTTAACACATAAAGGCATAATTAAAATTTGTGATATTTATTTACAAACATGTCTACAAGATATCTAAGCTTTTTTTGCTTGTTTTAGTTATATCATAATGCACAAAAAACTCCCAATCTTGCTTGTCTACAGAAGGGAAGACTCGGTACAAAGTGTAATGGTTCAGTCTTGTGGATTACTGTTGTGTTTGGTACTTGCATTTGACTTTATGATGTAATCTGTGAAAATGCGACAAACAGAGACTCCTACCTCAATAGTTCATGGAATAAGAGACCTAGTGTTGTGTCTGATGTTCTTC